AGGCCAAGGAGTAAGCATCCAAACCATTTTATTTGATTCATAGTGATGTGTGGGGGCCTTCACGGGTTACTAACGTGACTGGAACTAGGTTGTTCATTACTTTCATTGATGACCATACTAGAGTGTGTTGGGTATATCTTTTGAGAGAAAAATTTGAGGCTGCGAGAGTGTTTAAAGAGTTCTATGCCATGATTGAAAACCAGTTTCAAACCCGGATTCAAGTATTTAGAACCGACAATGGAAAAGAATTCTTTAACTCTATTCTTGGTGATTTTTTGAAAGAAAAGGGTATTTTCCATCAGTCCACTTGCTTTGATACCCCACAGCAAAACGGGATAGCTGAGAGAAAAAACCACTATTTACTTCAGGTTGCTAGGGCAATAATGTTCACTATGGGGTTCCTAAATATCTATGGGGTGAGGCTGTTCTTACAGCTTCATACTTGATCAACAAAATGCCAACTAGGGTGTTGAAATTTGAGACGCCCCTAAATAGATTGTCGTCAGTTTTTCCCTATATTAGATTTTCACCTCATTACCTTTTAAAGTGTTTGGATGCATTGCTTTTGTATATGTTCATACACGGGATCGTTCAAAACTTGATCCTAGGGCTGAAAAGTGCGTGTTTGTTGGGTACTCTCCTAAACAGAAAGGGTATAAATGTTATAACCTCACCTCTAAAAAATTCTTTGTGAGTATGGATGTGACATTTTGAGACTCAACCCTATTTCACCAAAAATACTCTTTAGGGGGAGACTAATGAGAGGGACGACCATTTTTGGGAAGTGGTGAGCTCTTTAAAGGCTTCACCCAAACATATGGAATGGATTACCAGGAAACCTTTGCACTGGTGGCAAAGATAAATTCCATACGGGTGCTGTTGTCTCTTGCTGCAAGCTTGAGGTGGCCATTGTAACAGTTAGATGTAAAGAATGCGTTCTTAAATGGTGAGCTAGAGGAAGAAGTGTTTATGAGTCTACCACCAGGATTTGAAAATGATTATGGAGCTGGAAAGGTGTATAAATTGAAGAAATCGCTATATTGTTTGAAACAATCACCCAGAGCATGGTTTTATCGATTCACTAAAGCTATCAAGGGTCATGGATATCGTCAAAGTCAGGCTGATCACACTCTGTTCTACAAACATTCATGTCATGGTAAGATAGCCATACTTATTGTTTATGTGGATGACATAATCTTGACCGGAGATAATAAAAGAGAATTGGAGGATTTGAAGTCTTTTCTTATAGAGGATTTTGAGATAAAAGACCTTGGAGATTTGAAATACTTCCTAGGAATGGAATTTGCCAGATCCAATAGAGGGATATTTGTCTCTTAAAAGAAGTATGTGTTGGATTTATTTATGGAGTCAGGTTTACTTGGCCTCAAACCAGTGGAAACACCTATGGAGCCCAATTTAAAGTTGCAGGCAACTTCGGATGCCTGGTGGATTCGGATGGGGTGGTATTCTTGTGGAAGGCTGTGTGGCGCACTAAGGCGCCATTGAAAGTGGCCTTTTTTGCTTAGACGGTTGTGTGGGGTAAAATTTTGACATTGGGTAATTTGAGAAGGAGAAAGCTTATCAAGGTGAATTGGCGTTGCATGTGTAAGGGCCTGTTTGATTTCTTAATTCAACACTGAATGCAAAACACGGTAAGTGATTTTAAAAATAAGTTTGTTTGATAAAATTTTAGGACACCACTTAACATGATAAGTACCGTTTAAAAGAGGCCAAAATTTTAAGCATGGAGAAGGTTACTTATCGCTTATCGCAGAAGATGGTAAGTGGTTGGATTTAAAAAATAACTTTTTAATGACTACTTTACCCTCATATAATTGTGTTATCTCTTTTAGGGTTTCTCTCTACCTAATATATTTTGAACACGTATATAGCCTTTTGGTTACCATTTATATTGATTCACTATAGAAAACAATTATTTATATAATAGAATTTAATTCAATTTCACAGCTTTTTAAAATATTTTTAACACCATTTTTATAACCACACCATTTTTATACCCTACATAAATATTATGTAATTATTTATATAATAGAATTCTATTATTAGAGAAGAATTGTCTTTTACGTACTTTCTTAACACTCTTTTCAATACCCTACCATGTAATCCAAAACCCATATATTTTAAATTTTAGTTTCTTTAATATTTTGTAACATTCTTTTTTATATCCAAAACCTATATATTTTAAATTTTCATTAATTATTTATATAATAGAATTATTATTTTTTTTTCTATTTTTTTTTTGGTAATCGTGGGTGTCCGGGCTAGCTTGCGTGCACCTTGACTAATCCCACGAGGCCTTGAAAATATATAATAGAATTATGTTCCTAGATAAGAATTCTTTTTCACTTTCCTTAATTTTTGTAACACATTTTTTAATACCCTACATAAATATTATGTAATTTAAAACACATATTTCTTTAATTTCTGTAACACCATACCTACATAAATATTATGTAATCCAAAACCCATAGATATAATAGAATTTTATTCCTAAATAAGAATTCTTTTTCAAGTATTTTCTTTAATATCTGTAACACCCTTTTCAATACCCTATTCAAAACCCTATCTAAATATTATTCAATCCAAAACTCATGTATTTTAAATTTTACTTTCGCTAATCTTTGTAACACCCTTTTCGATACCATACATAAATATTATGTAATACAAAATTCATATATTTTAAATTTTCATATTTATTTATTTCATTGAGTGAATGTGGTTGTTTTATTAATATTTCTGTATTATAAATATAAAACTGTTATGAGTATCAGATATTGAGGGCAAAAATATAATATGTACAACTTTCAGACTTCAGCTTTTGTATATAACAAACAATCTTAATGAATTCAGCACTTAAAATTAAAATGTTATCAAACAGGTTTTCAAATTAATACATTCAGCGTTTAAAGTTTCAGCGCTTAAAATTTAGTACTTGAAATTTTCAGTGCTTAATTTTCAGTTTTATCAAACAACACCTAAGTGCAGTGGTGAGTCGGTAGATCATCTTCTCTTGCATTGTCCAGTGGCGGTTGATTGTTGGAACCTTTTGCTAGGTTTATTTGGAGTTTGTTGGGTCATGCCTAGATCTACGAGAGGCTTGATGGACACCTGGAGAGGGGGTTGGGTGGGAGCACAAGCTCGAGGGTTTTGGAGGATGGCGCCTTCGTGTCTTTTGGTGGTGTTTGTGGAGGGAGCGAAATATAAGATCCTTTGAAGGAGAGGAATCTTCCATCATTGTTATGAAATCTTCTATTATTAGCTCTCTTTGTTTTTGGGATTCGGGTAGACTCTGCTCTTCTACTGAGGAGACTATTGAGGTTTTGGCTTCCTTGGGGCCTTAGGGTACCCAGGTTTTTGTGGTTTGTTAAGGATGCGTTCCCCGTTTGAACCTTTTTTTAATGAATTATTTATTTATCAAAAAAAAAAAAAAAAAGAAAGTTGCAGGCAGCAAGTGCAAAAAAAGTGGTGAACTGAGAGCAATTCCAAATGCTGGCTCATTTATCTTTCACACAGTCGGCCAGATATTACCTTTGCAGTGATTGTAGTGAGTCAATTTATGCACTCACCAGGAGAAGAACACTTTGAGGCAGTCTACCGAATTCTCAAATACCTAAAGGGATCACCTGGAAGAAGTTTGTTGTTCGAAAACCATGACCATCTAAGGATTGAAGCCTATACTGATGCTGATTGGGCAGGTAGTGTGACAGATAGAAGGTCTACTTCAGGTTATTGTACTTATGTTGGTGGCAACTTGGTTACTTGGAGGAGCAAGAAGCTAACTGTTGTAGCAAGGAGTAGTGCAGAAGCTGAGTTCAGAGCAGTTGCTCATGGAATTTGTGAACTTTTGTGGTTGAAAAGATTACTTGAAAATCTTGAGTCCGATGCCTATGAAGCTTTACTGTGATAATAAAGCTGCAATTAACATAGCTCACAATCCTGTCCAACATGATAGGACTAAGCATGTGGAAGTTGATCGACATTTTATTAAGGAGAAATTGGAAGGAGTGATATGTATGCCCTATATTCCTACGGGAGAACAGGTAGCAGATATCGTCACTAAAGGATCCACCGAATGGGAAATTTGACAATCTTACATGCAAGCTGGGAATGCAAGATATTTTTCGAGCCAGCTTGAGGGGGAGTGTGGAAAGATCTAGGCTGAATTGTTAGGAAATTAGTTAGGGAGGATTTTTAGGAATTATCCATAATTAGTAGTTGACTTTTTTAAATTTTACATAAGTAGTTCCTATATTATAGGAATTACGATCTGTATATATCTTTTACTTAGATATATCTTCTATATATATAGGCCTGTAAACTAACATATGTGATATGAAAAAAGAATATCAGAATTTATTCTTTTTCACCTTTGTGTTCAATTGTGTGTATATATATATATATGTACTGTATGTATCTAGTGTTATGAGAGTAGAACTTGCTAATCATGTGAGATCGAAAGAATGTTCATTCATGACATATAGAACAATACCAGCATTGAATGGGTTTAAATCTTATCTCAGATAAGAATGTCTGCTGCTTCTTCCTCGTCCTTTCTTTTTCGTTTTAAGTTTGTGTGTGTCTCTGTGTCTATATGTGCGCATTTAAGTTACTTCTTTATGTGATGTTATACAAAACAAAAAAGAGAAGTACACAGCAATTTTTTTTTTCCGTCTCTAGTGGATACATCATTTAATCTGATAATGTACAAGGTAAGACAAGTTACTTGATGCAGTCATTTGCTTTGTTAATTTTGCCCATGTTATTTATTTTACTTTGTATGCTAAAGGCGTAGTGATTCAAAAAGGTTGCGATAAGCTAAGAGCCTTTTTTGTAAAAAAAAACCTTTCCATTGAATTTGCTAGCATATCTTGCATTCACCCATCCATTTACCAACAATGAACATTAAACAAGCATACATTTATCTGCATTAAAAAATGATGGTCAGTTCAGTTTTGATTTTGTATGTTGCGCTTCAACAGAGAACGCGTGTAAGCTTCCTAGAAGAGAAGCCTCATGTTAAGGGCATTATCAACAATGTAGTTTTCATGCCATGGGAAAATGCCTGTTTCGTTACTGGTGGCAGTGATCATGCTGTAGTACTTTGGACTGAGAAAGACGGGGAGAACAAATGGAAACCAAAGGCAGTGCATAGGAGTATGCATTCATCAGCCGTAATGGGAGTTGCTGGGATGCAGCAAAAGCAGGTTGTATTGTCTGCCGGTGCTGACAAGAGAATTATTGGGTTTGATTTACTGGCAGGAAGAGCAGACTACAAGCATCAAATAGAAAGTAAATGCATGAGCGTTTTACCTAATCCATGCGATTTCAATCTATTTATGGTCCAAACTGGGTAAGCAACATGTAAAAGTTACTGTCAGGATCATCTTGTCACCTATACTATTCTTGTTATGCTTCATTAGTTCTCCCATAATAATTTTTCTTTTTAGTATGTTTTCCTCTTTGCTAGTAATTGTATGCTGTAATTTTTAATATGTTTCCCTCTTTTCCTTTGTGTTTGTCCATCAATTATTATTAGTTTAAGGATCACTGGACTTTTTCCATGTCGATGTGCTGCAATTGCAGTGGGAAATATTCAAACTGGGATGAGGACCCAAAGAAAATTCTGTACCAATGTGCAGACAAGGCTTTGCTTATTGGTACTTGTATAGCCACTTAATATGATTCAGAGAGTTGAAATCTCTGTCAAAATGAATTGACGCTTATTTGATCCTACTATAGAAAGCTTTGGTTATTAAAAACAACAATCTTAGCATGTTTCTTTATCCCAAGTATAGTTGATGATTGCCTCACTGGAGTCATTAAATTAGATAGTTGTTGGTTTATTAATAAACCATGAGAATAAAATTAGATTTTATGGAGGAAGAATATGTTCTCTTATCCACTAAGGCTTCAAATATTATGATTATATAGGGAAAAAGTATTTGCTCTAACTGATTTAAAATTCTGTGGAAGGTGTGGCTGTCATGGCTTTTTAAAAATGAATTGGATTGTCAAATAAATGGCATTCAAATTGAGACAGTTAACCACCATATACTCTAAAAGCTTAAGTTAAAGTGGGTGTAATTTTTATATTTGAATCATCTAACACGCCCCCTTACGTGTGACCTTCTTTTGGTCCAACACGTGTTTCAATTTTAATTAGCAGGGTTATGCTGAGGTTTGAACTCATGACCTTGGCTACTTTGATACCATGTTAACCACCGTTTACTCTAAAAGTTTAAGCTGTTAAAGAGGGTGTAACTTTAATATTTAAATCCTCTAATAGAGACTAAACCAAAACTGAAGCATTTGGTTTACATTTTTTAAAGTTATAAAGCATATAGATAAGTAGACAACTGAAAATATTAAAGTGATTCATGTTCAACCTCCCACTGTGCATCCATTTACTTGGATTCACAAGTAGTCAATTTTGTAATGATATCCTGATTTCACATGGATCATTTGGAAAAGATATAGACTTCAGAAAAATAACAACTTAATGGTAAACTCACAGTTTTTTGTCAATAATGAGTTATTTACTACAACATTATTTATTGCAAAGATATTATTCATCCTGGATTTAGTATGAGTGTCAATGAGACTATTATCTTTAACTGGAAGTTACTTTTTATTGTTTTTTTATTATTTATTTATTTTGGGTAGCAGGGGAGAGGGTTTAGAGTAGGACTCTTAGTTGGTTGGGAAAATGCAAAATATGCAGAACTTCAGAGGAGGAGGTCATGTTCTGGCCCTCGAAAAGGTTGACGTAGAAGACATTTAGTTATATTTTAGACACAAATTAAAGAGAGCAAAAAATAGTGTTGTAGGACTCCTTTTAACTTATACTGCATTAATTAAATCCCATTTGAATCCCTTGGGTGGTTGGAAGCCCTAGTGAAGAGTTGGTTCTGGTTTAGATTCACCGTTAGCAACTGTGAAGATTAGGTTGAGTTCAGAAATTTGTGTAATGAAAGCTTTTGGCTTGATTCAACACAGATGATGTTTGGTGTTAAAATTGACAGATTTCACAAATAAGGTAGCAATTGAGTAGTTTTAGCTCTATGTTGCATGACGTTTGGAGTTAAAGTTGAAAAGAAAAAGACCTTTGGAGTTGATGGATTTAAAAAATATGTTAACAATTTTTCTTTTTCTCTTTCTTTTCGGAAGGTAAAATATGTTAGCAATTGAATATCTTGACATGTATAAATATGGATATAAGCTACTAGTTCAATGCAATGTCCATGGCTGATCTTCAACTCAAAAAGAAGATTGTAGGGTTGAAATAAAGTTGTTCAAGTAAGGCTCAAGTTCCATATGATGTGTTTACTGTTCATTTTGACTAATTATGGCCCGAAAAAAGAATTTGAGTGTCTTTGTAGGTGCAACATCCTTCCTTTTGTTCTGTATGCTCGTTTCGATGCTCTAATGTTCTTGCAAAAAATGTCTTATATGCAGGACTCCACAGAGGCAGCTTCGGTTGTTTGATATTAGGTTGAGGCAAACGGAAATCCATGCATTTGGTTGGAAGCAAGAAGCTAGTGAATCACAGTCTGCTCTAATAAATCAAGCATGGTCTCCCGATGGTTTATACATCACATCTGGTTCAGCTGATCCTGTTATCCACCTCTTTGATATCAGGTATAATGCTCACAAACCTTCGCAGTCAGTAAGAGCTCATCAGAAACGCGTATTTAAAGCTGTATGGCACCATGCTCTCCCGCTTCTGATTTCCATATCGTCGGATCTGAACATTGGATTGCACAAGATCACATAAAGATGTTATTTAAGTTGTACTCATGCCCTAAATCTTCTGCTCCTATTTGGTCCCATTTTGGGAAGTTTTGTCTTGCCTTGATAAAGAACTAGACCTTGTCAGAGAGGAGATATTGCCTCGGGAACATGTAAAAATATGCCAATGGGGGTGTAAATGTGGAAGAAATTTTGGGAGGAAATGATACAGAATTTGCAAAGTGGCCTTGTATTAGCTATGGGTATTAATATGGTCATTTTTGGGTGGGAACATATGACCAGGTTTAGTCTACAGTGTACCATTCATGATATCTGAATTTTGTTATTCTTTCCAAAAGGGAAATATAGCACAAGTTTTTTTCATTGTTTAGAGCCCATAACATTAAGCTATGTACTTTTCTTTCTGAGATGGCATTCTCAAACTTTTTGCTATGTAATATGGAATGACAAACTATGGGCATGGATTGTAACTTCTTGAAAGGAGAATAGAAGTTGTGCCTGTTGAGGGCTATGGTTTAGTTGGTCTAAAAACATGTCAGTGAAACAATTGTTTGAGTTTGAATCCTTGAAGGATATTGAATACTGCATTTGTTGTGCAACTACACACACCAAATCAAAAAATTAAATTTTAATTTGTGTGATTTGAGGCCCAACCATGAGGAATTGTAGAGGGTTTTTTGCAGCGCATTTGGACATGCATTTTGTGCTAGATGCTCTTCTAATGATTTGAGCCTTTGATAGCTAATAAGCCCAACCCTAAATGAAGTATTTTTGGCGAATCGGCATTTTGGATTTGGGATTGAAAAAAATTTAGTACTTTCTTTGTCTCAAAATAGTTGGGTACTTGCGGAACTGTGACTCACAATTTGTCCCAAAATAGTTTAGCACTTCGGGAATTAAATTTCTTCCAATCTCAAATCCAAAGCATCAAATTCGGTACTCCCAAACATGACATAATCTCAAATCCAAATGAGCTGTAATATATTCAGTTTTTAGACCAGTGTTGTGCAGAGAAGCGCATACTTGTTACCAGGAAATCTGATTTTTTTTTGGAAAATAGAAAAAAAAAAAAAAAAATCCATTCTCAAAGGACTAATAGATATTTCTTGGTGCATTTTATTTGCCAATATTTTGGTATTATTGGATATTTTAGAAGTCCTATAAATATAATTTGAAACATGACAAAATAGATTGAAAACATAAAAGCTTAAAAGAGAATATATAGTCCTAGATAATGATCATAAGCAAATAACAATTCATCTAATATCAAGCATTGATCAAAATATTCGTTTATAATATTTATAATCTATAATAGAAAAAGATAGGAAAACTCGGAGAAAATGGAGATAGCCTAATAGTTGTATTTAATGTGAAAAACAAATATCGAATAAATTAAAGAAAAATTCCATAAGATGCTTATTGAGCTGGTTATTTTATGAGCAACACATTTTTTGACATAAAACAAATGAAACAAGAACAAACTATTCACATAATTAAAACAAGAACTGCTAGAGGGATGATTTGTGTGCAAAAAATTAATTAATATCAACAAGTGAGGAAAATTATGAGTAATCCCTATTAATACAAAAGAAATGAGGTAAAGTTCAAATAAAAACATGCTATATAAAAAACGTACAAAAAATCCCTACTATTTAGTATGTGCATATAAATTCCTAAATTTGAGAATATGTGCAAATTGTCACCTAATATTTGTTGACAGTTAATTTTGACTAATTTTATTTTTAATAAAAAAACCCTAAAATACCTTTAATATACACTTAAAATAGAAATCAGTTTATATTTTGACTTAAGGACATTTTAGGTATTTTAATCTTCAAATTGACAAAATATTCTTATTTACTTAATATGAAAAATATTTGACTCTTTTTTTTTTGAACACCAAGAGAGTAATTTGTACATTATGCATATAACAGTGACTTTTTTTTTTTTCTTTCTAATTGCACTTTACACCTAAAAAAAAAATAAATAAATAAATACGGAGTAATAACTATAAGTTTAGTTATGTATGATAGACACAAAAACTTAAATAATCGCAATGAATTGTTATACGTAATTCAAAACAGTGGTTTCCGACTCTCCGGTGAACGCCGAAAGATCTAGGACGCACACGTGGATATCAATCGCCATGTAAGCCGTTGATTTGATTCCCCACCGAACTTCTACTAATACCTATTTATAGTTACCGGTCCTCATCAGTCGTTCCTTCAAAATTAAATCCACCGACTCTTCTGCGCAGCTTCGGAATTTCGGTACACTCAATTTGCTATGTCTTCATTTCCGATTAGGATTATACATATACGTACACATATGCGTGTGTTTATATATATATATATATATATATATATATGTATGTATTTGTATTGGCACATGTTTTTGCTAACCGATTATTCTAGGGCTATCGATTTGATGCATCAGAGCCTCTATATTGAGCGAATCGTAGTGCTTTTCTGTTAATTGCGTGCTCTTGGTATATAGTAGGCTCAAATTGGGTTAACTAATTTTGATGATATGCTTATAGAAACAGTTGTCGTTGATTTCCGTTGCTTAATTTTTTTTTTCCTTGTCCTTTGCTTTAATTCATAGCAGTTGTTTGAAGCATTTGGAATTAGAAAGGAATCAAATGTACATGAACTTTCTCTCTCTTTTTTTTTTTTTCGTCTGTTATCTTGGTGTTTGTAAATGAATCTCTTATTAGTGTTTAATGAATTGTTCACTATTAATATGTCATCTGCCTTGTGTGACAGCACAAATATGAGAATTGGAGATTGATAAGTAAAATTTACCTTTTTATTTATTTGTTTCTTAATTTTTCCCCCCACCCAGAAAGCTGTCGTCCTACTTTGGCACTATGGTGATGGCTAGCTTGAATTATTAATCAACAATCTGCCCGTTTACTAACGCTTTCACTTTCTTACTTTTCTAAATTGAAATAGAAAAGCATGTCATGTTCAATAACTTTTTCTATTTTCAATATTTTGAAAGCAAAAAATTTGGAAGTAAGTTTAGTAATTCTAATTTTAATTTTGTTTTGGGGTCATCTCTCTCTCTCTAAAAAGGTTTAATTACAAAGCTTACAGACCCAACAAAAAAAAAACCCAGAAAACCTATCCAGCAACCTATCAAACCTTTCCAATCAGATCTGCCGAATTCCCAGTTACCACAGGAGCAATATAAAAACCAGCTATTGAGTGCTTCAATTTTGTTTTGGGGTCATCTTTCTCTCTCTAAAAAAGTTTAATTACAGTGCTTACATACAGTTAGAGAGAGAAGATCCAACAAAAAAAAGCCAACCTTTCCAATCAGATCTGCCGAATTCCCAATTACCACAGGAGCAGTATCAAAACCAACTATTGAGTGCTTCATCGTCACAACCCAGTAGAATGTTGGGACTCAAACAAAGCTTACAATGGTTGACAGAAACAGAAAGACTCCAAATTATAGTGGTTTAGAGAAAGAGAAAGACTCCGATTCCGGCGGTCTGAAATTCGAAGAAATTATCGATCCATATTTCTGGCTATGGTGTCCAAATTTGACTGAATACTTCAGTTTGAAAGAGAGATCGAGAGATTTTGGGGCTTCAATCCAATTTCGAATATAGAGAGAGAGAGTGATTGGGGCTTCGATCCGATATCGAATACAGAGAAACAAAAGCTACATCATCGTCTTCGTCGGCATCGTCGTCTTTGTTGGCATCGTTGTCTTTGTCCAGATAGATAGAGAGCAATACTGATAGAGAGACAGCGTGGTGGCCAAGTGGTGTCTTCCATCGTCGTCGGTGGTTAGTGTCTTCCATTGTTGCCGGTTGGTGGGATGAGATGATGATGATAGAGAGGGAGAGGATGATGGGTGTGCTTGGTTGAGAATGGGTGATGCTCGGCTGATGGGTCATTAAATACTACAGTAACAGAAAGTATTTTCTGTGTACAGTAGAGAAAATAGAGAAAGTAACAAATCTTCACTTTCTTTTTTCTTTATTAAATGTGAAAGTATTTTCTAACAGCTAGAAAGTAAAATTATATTAAAAAACATAATTTGTACTTTTACTTTATATTTTTAGAAATTGAAAGTAGAAAACAGGAATTATTCCTGTTAGTAAACAGGCCCTAAATGTTTTTGTTTTTTTATTTTTATTTATTTATTTTTATATTAGTAAAATGTATTAGAAAGCATTCAAAAGGGGAATGCATCCCAAGAATACACAAAGGTCAAAGCCTAGAAAAAGAGAAAAGAAAAGAGAGGGATTGAAGGTCCCAAGGAGCCCAAAAGATCAACAATGTCCTTTATAGACGTACAAAATTTCCCCATCCCCCAATAGAAAAGGCAACTAATAATGCGTAATTTTAGCATTCCTATGGGAGATTCCTCCCCATGAAAAGATCTAATATTATGTTCGTTCTAGATTCACTACCAAACGTAGAGGGGTGCCACACTCCAAAAACAATGAGCGTGATAACCCACGCCACACCATCTCCAAGAGTCAATCAAACTTCTCTAAGACAAGGGCATGATCCACTGCATACCAAACAGACCAAAAATCAAACTCCAACAGTCGTGAGCCACAAGGCAATGCAAAAGAAGATAATCTACTAACTCTCCATCCCTCTTACACATGCAACACCAATTGACTGTAACCTGTCTTCTCCTTCTGAGGTTATCAAGAGTCAGAATCTTGTCCCAAACTGCAGTCCAAACAAAAAAAGCCACCTTGAGGAGAGCCTTCGAGTGCCAAACTGTCTTTCAAAGAAAATCAACCCCTGAGAAGCAACATAAAAACGATTGAACATCAAATCTTCCCTAAAGGGAGGGCACCCAATTAAGGGAATCTAGGCCTTCCCCACCCAGCACATCCAACAAGTCAGAAACGTCGTCCAATTCCCAATCATGAAATTGTTGCCGAAAACGCATATCCTAAGTGATCCTTCCGGCTTCCGCTATCAAGCCCATTACAGTGGGCCACCCAAGCATGTTTGTCAACGAAAATCCTGAAAAACTTGGGAAATGAAGAAGCCAACGAACGCTCGCCACACCATAAGTCCTCCCAAAATCGAAGGTACCCACCGTCTCAAACTTTGAATCTGATATATTTGAAAAATTCATCTCAATCCTTTAGAATAAACTTCCAAACACCAATGCCATCAACGCCTTCGGAAGATCTAACCACTCGGGAACACCACCAACCTCTCTACTCCCTAAAGCGACATGAGATGACCCTCCTCCATAACCGATGGCTCTACCTCCAAATCTCCACAACCACTTTCCTAACAGAGCCCTATCAAAAGGGATCACCCTCCTAATACCAAGCCACCCAACTGAATAGGTCTGCACACCTACTCCTTCCGAACAAGATGATATTTGAACTTATCCCCTAATCCACCCCGAAGGAAATTGAAATTCCGCTGGAGCTTCTCAATCCCATCAGTGACGAAGGCTGGAATTTGAAGGAGAGAGGAAATATGTAGGAAGACTTGACAACATGCTTTTCATGAGGGTGACCTTCCCACCTTTAGAAAGATACTGGTACTTCCACCAGCAAGCCTCTTCTCAAATTTCTCAATCACATGGTCCTAGACCCTCACCCTTCTTAACAGGGAACCCTAAGGCAAACCCAAATAATAAATGGGAAAAGAAGAAACCCCACACCCTAGGACCATAGCAAGATTGGCAATGTCCTGCTCCTTACCCACTCACTGGGACTAAGGAGCTCTTCCCCACAGTCACTTTAAACCAGAGACAGTCTGAAAGCAAACTAAAACACAAAGTATCTCAGTTGGGACACATTTGCATCACAAAACACCAAAGTATCATCCGTAAAGAGTCTTAAGCTGATGATCCACATCTTTGCCTACCCTAAAATCCCTAATGAATCCCAAGTCCACGGCCCTCTTCATCAACTTGTTGGGAGCCTCTATAACAATGATGAACAAAAAAGGAGAAAGGATCTCCTTGTCTCAATCCCCGAGAATTGCCAAAGAAGCCAAAAAGAGCCCTTCTCACCAGAACCAAAAACCTCATAGACGAAATGCAGAACTCAATCCACCTCCTCCATCTCTCCCCAAAGCCCAACCTCTCCAACATATACAACAAAAAACTCCAACCAACATGATCTAGAGTCCACAGGCAACAAGAGTAGAATCCATAATCTGATGACCACCGATGAAAGCATTCTGAGATTTTGAGACAATTCCATCTAAGACATCCCTCAATCTCGAAGCAAGGACTTTAGCTATAAGTTTGTACATACACCTCACCAAACTAATAGGTCTAAAATCCTTCACGTCAGATTGTTAAAAGCCCCACCTTTCTTGGGAATGAGAGCGATGAAAGCTGCGTTAAAAGATTTCTTGAACCGCCCATGAGAATGGAACTCCTAGAATGTCCCCATCACCTCACTCCTGACCACACCCCAACTTTCCAACAGGAATCTCATAGTGAAGCAATCCAGGCCCGGGGCTTTGTCGCCATTACAACTTTTTAGCGCCTTCAACACTTGCGTACTATTTGATAAAATTGAAAATTAAGTAATGAAAATTTTAAGAATTGAATATCAAGTGCTAAACTTTTGAAGTGTAATTAAAAAATAAATATTTTTTGATATTTTAAAAAAATTTCAGCTACTGATTTTCAAATTGCGTAATCAAACGCACTTAATTGGATAAGTGCTGAATTCGTTCAGAATTAAGCGCTGAATTGAGTTATCAAACAGCACCTTCTTCTTCTAAATTTACAAGCTCAAAGAATGATTAATTTTAGGAGGACCATATGGTTTGGTTCATATTTTATATCTCTTACCTGATAATCTTTCCAACTTTATTTATAAATTTATATATGGAATGATTATTTGCATTGATAATACATCAACTAATATATTTTATGGGGAGAATTCATCAAGGTACCAATTTATAGGTAAAAACGGTAATGAAGTGTGTAATCACATGTAAGATGAAAAAGTAGAATAGTTTGTTTAGCTGCAAAACTTGAAATAAATTTTCGGGGGAGCTTATTGATTTTGTTGATAGCTTGAAAGTATTGAGTTTATGGTTGTTGGTGGCATAGGTTTTTTGGTTGTTGGCGGTATAGTTGTATTTGTACGGGTGCGCTCCCCTCTTAAGCGCTTTTAATGAAACCATACTTATAGGGAAAACAAATTGCAAAACTTGAAATGCTAGACCCCTGCCTTTCTTACGAATATTTTATGCTTCAATGTTGAGTTTTTAGTAGTTCATACGTAGTCTTTATAGTGGAACATTTT